GTGATAGAGCAATTAAGGGACTTGGTCAATTTACTAACCAACATAAGGTTAAAAGGGAATTCTGGAACAAAGAAAATTGACGACAAGCATAAGGAATCTATGTCAACATTACCAATACCACATATGGAAGAGGTGAAGCCATTATCAAGGGTGACAGTGTGTGATGTAGAAGACTGAAAAAGGGAAGAAAACACACATAGAGTCTCAATCATATAATCGGAAGCTCCAGAGTCAATAATCCAATGGGAGGGTTTGGATGCTAGACAAGCCATATCTGAATGGGCAAGACTGGTTGTATTTTACTAAATAGTAGCCTGGAGGAACCTCTCATACTCATTACGTGAAACACTCATCATCTCTTTCCCAAAGGCATCCATTGATGTAGAAGGTGTCTAACCAACTTGCTGAATTTATTGTCTCATGCCACCACCACTAGCCACCGCATGGTTTACCCAAGTTGAAGGTGGGCCATGTAGATCATAACAAAAGTTGATAGTGTGTCCCTCCATTCCACAGTGTACACTTCCTCGGACTATTACTACGTCCTCTACCATAAGCTCCCCCTAAATCCCGACCTCTAATATGCCCACCACCATGACCTGGCTGAACTCCCCGAGATCCTCCTCTACCTCCAAGACCTCCCCCTCTTGTCACTGCAAAATCAAACCTACCAGATACGGTAGAGTTCTCTATACGTCCAACAAAAATCCTCCGGAGGTGAGCAAACACCTCTTCAAGAGAGGGAAGGGCAAACCCACCTAGTATCTGTGCTCTCATCAGTTCATATTCAGACTTCAACCCTACTAAAAATCTAGTTACATCAAGTTGTTCTCTCTGTTGTTGCTGAATCTTGACATCAGAAGTGAGAGGATGATATACATTCAACTCATTTTGAAGATTCCTCATGCTAGCATAATACTCCTCAGGACTTTGATTACCCTGCTCAAATTAAAATACTCTTAGTAAAGCTAGTATACTCTAATAGTATTGCCTTTTTTTTTATCAATAACACTTTCATTAATTCATCAGTAGAAAATTTACAAGTGGAAGACAAACACACTTATCTTCCAAGAKTCACAAAGAACTTCAAGAAAGGAAAGAAGAAAATACAAAGATACAAGAACACTAACATTACAACTTAGACCAAAACAAGGAATCCCTTTCTGCCCCTTGTTTTGCT